GCAGTGTATTTTTTACATACAGGTATAACAGAATACCTTTAGTGTTGTTATTTATTTAAACTTGAGTATAAACAAAATGCAGCAAGATATTAAAAAAACGTTTTATTGATTAAAAAACACACTATATCGGATTCATATCGGTATCGGCAGATATCCAAATTTATAATATCGGTATCGGTATCGGACATAAAAAAGTGGTATCGTGCCATCTCTAATAAATGCATGAACTAATTTTTCAGCGTTTTCATGTCATTTGTGCATAATTATAACTCTACTGTGAATGTTGCAGCACAAGTTGACACTCACCAGACTTTGCAACATTTTTCTCTTTTTTTGCTATTTTGCTGAGCCCATATAAACTGTAGTGTCAGCTTGTTGCCACCAGGTGCAGTCTGCTGCTGCTGCAGCCCATCTGCTTCAAGGGTCCATGTGTTGTGTGTTCAGAGACACTGCTTTGGTTGTAACTGTAGTTTTTACTTGAATTACTGTTGCTTTCCTATCAGCTCAAAGGAGTCTGGCTGTATTCCTCTCAGATTTAGCAGACTGATCATGTCTGCATGCCTAAGCATGCTACCATGTGACTGACACATACACATTCGTGAGCAGTTGAACAGGTGTACCTAATAAAGTGGCCTGTGAGTGTATTCTGTGCTGTACTTTTTTGACCGAGACAACAGAGACAGATACACAACAAGATTAAATCAGAGATAAGACAGAGCACATGTACAATGTATACACAGAAACGTACACACTGCATGTAAGTGTGTATACAACTGTGGGTGCTTTTGTGTGCATTTCTGGGAGGGGTGCACATGGGAAGAAAACAACAACAGATAAATAATCATGCATAATCCTCACCTGTCATGAAAATCGCCAATCAACTTTAACTCGGCTACTTCTGAAAACCTGTTCTGACTAGAGATGGCACGATACCACTTTTTTATGTCCGATACCGATACCGATATTATAAATTTGGATATCTGCCGATACCGATATGAATCCGATATAGTGTGTTTTTTAATCAGTAAAACGTTTTTTTAATATCTTGCTGCATTTTGTATAAGTTCATACTCAAGTTTAAATAAA